GAGAGAAGAGAGAGAGAGAGAGAGGGAATCATTTGTGTTTGTTGGGTGTCTTAAAGAGGAATTACGCCTTTTGTGTTTGACCCACATGAGTAGCACATGAGAGTGGGCTACACATGCACCAATTACACGTGTGTGTGCAAACTACTGTGTTTTTTCGGTAAACTGTCACTGCCTACTGCTCCATGCAGTAACAAACCTACTCTCAATGTCAGAGAGAAATTTGTATTATCTACATTGTTTTTTCATCAAATATGCATATTTTTTGTAATAACTTTTATAAATTAATTCAGGGATTGATGAATTTGGATGAAACTGTGAGAAATTCTGGAACTATCTTTGAAGAAGCCTTGACACTCTCATAGTTTACCCTAAACATTTCGTACAAGTAAGCTGAGGCTACAATGCCTGATATCTCATTTTCTTCAGTTGGTTTCTGCAGTCAAATATGGTATCACCATTTGCCATCCATCAGCAGCAGCTTGCTTTCTTGGCCCAACAGCAATCTCTACTCATGGCTGCTGCAGCAAGATCAACTAATGGGGGGGCATCAACACCTTCCGGAATGTACCCTCTACCTGATTCTAACAACACCCACTTACTTGGGGGAACCTCACCTTTACAAGGCTGGCCAAATCTCAATTTTCGTGCTCAAGGAGTGCAGATGCCAACTTCTGTACAGAATGACCAACACACGTCAAATCAGGCACTTTTTTATGAACTCTAGTTGCTTAGGATCCATTTCTTGTATTGTCTCTGTTTCTCTCACTTAAAATGCTCCCTGGTTTCAGGTTCTTGGAACCCATTTTTTGGATTGATACTTCCATATTTGCTTGAATTGAACCTGTTTTAGTTGTTTAGTATTCATTTTATTTAAATTCAATTCTCTGTTATTTGCTTGAAAGCAATTCGTTTTCTGTCACTTAGAACCCATATTTTGTGAATTCTCTCTCTTGTTTGCCTTAACTAAAAATGGTCCCCAGGCAAAGTATGCTCTGTTTATTAGGTTGGGAACTTTTCATTTTATTTAACTAACATTTACATGGCATGTTGTTCTCTCGTCCTGTGGTCAGATGTTAAACAACTCACCTGCAAATTCTTTTGGGAATACAAACCCTCTGTTTACAACAAGGTATTCTTTTTCTCAATATTAGATTTCCCGTTGTAGATAGCTTGTGGCCAATGGCCAGAAATAATAAAAGGAAAACAGAAACTGGCAAAAGAAAAACAAAATTTGATTGTGCTCGTAATTAAGAAGCAGAACTCTTAGGTGGAGGCCTCGGAAGGTATTATTCTCTGCTGGCATTGGCGCCCAATGATTCATGAGGCTAGTTATTATCATAACCCTAAAACTGGGATTGGTTTCCTTTCTTTAAGCATGGATCTACGACTATGTTAGTTTGGGAGATTTGAGTTTTAGATGGATCTTCTATGGGTCCTTGCCAAAATCAACAGATGTTTCAAATAAGTGCTCTTCTGATGCATGTAACAGAAGTCTAATTTTCTTTTGAACTTTTGAGTCTGAATCTCAACTAAAGATCTAAATCTTGGCCAATTCTCCTAACTCGATGTTGCATGGTGGATGGATGGAGTTGGTCTAAGTTTGTCTAAATCTGAAATTTGGTTTGCTCTCCTAGTTGAAAACGTTTTGGAATTCGACACATAAATATGGGAAGTATCTTATGATACATGTCTCCTCCACCATCCATACCAAAAGAAAAATTGAGCCTGCTTAAGTCTGATGCTGTCTGCTCGAACAGAAGATGGACAGTGGAGATTGTATGCCACAGTTTTGGCATGATACATGTACCATAATATACAATCCCACACACGCACATGCATACTGTACACAAACATATGTAGAGAAACTTAGTTCTTATACCTTTTTCTATGCAGCATGTATAATATGGGCACTGCAATGCCCAGCTCTGGCGGACCAGCTTGGTCTACGGGTATCTTGGGTGCATCCCCTGCTTCCAACTCTAATGGGAGCAACATGAGGCCACCTTCTGCTTCACCTGTTGCCGCTGGCTCGCCTGCTCAATCAACTAAAGACTATGATTTCTCATCATTGACCCAAGGCATGTTTCCGAAACACTAGCTACCAGGCTCTTGATACCATCTTTCATCAAATCTACCATAGTTGTGGGCACTGTGGTTCTTTCTCCTCTTTCGAGATTGTGATAAAATGGGATGTTGGGTTGTCTCCTCTTTTGGGATCACGATAGAAGCAGGTGGGTCTTGGGTTCTTTTGACTTTTTTTTTTGCTTGTTTTAGGTCCTTTCAGAGGCAGGTCAGTTTTCTATTCCGATTGCTTCAAATGTATTAGTAGATGGGGAATGAAAATTGGGTTAATTTGCCGGCATTTCATGGTGTACATTGTTGGTGTTTATTCGTTGTGGGATCAGTATATGGCTTTTTGTTTAGATTGCCAAGACTTATTTTCATTGTAACATAGATACAACCCAATTTGAGTGCTAAAAAAGGATGATTACAAGTGAACAGAGCACATGATTGATAATCAAGAAGCCATACTTTGGGGCCTCTTGGTGACAAGTGGAATTTCCACTGTTTTTCATTATTATTATTATTATATTTTGTTCTTTTGTTATTTGACCCCGGCGACTTGGCCGATCCAGATAGGAATTACTGATCCTGATCAGCGTTGCTGGTGACCAACTCTGCCACCCGATCCATGTTTTAAAACACTCTAGTTTCAGATTTTTTCTTCCATTTCCCATTGACTTTCACACTTCTTATTTTCATTCATGTGTTTAGTTCCCTTTCCACTAACCGCTAACCTTCTGACACTGTGTTTCAAGGTCCTCCATCTATCCCTTAGCAAAATGCCAACAAATGGCTAACAAAATCCAGATTCGTTTGGTTTTGGATGCAAGAAGGGGCGTAAAAAAAGAACAAAAGAAAAAAAGGAGGACCAAAATTACAAGTGCTAGAAAAGAATGTTGACCATGTTAACTGAAAAAGACATTGACCAGTTTGGATTCTGACTATAAAATTTTCAATTAGAGAAGTTCAAATTGAGCAGATCTATGAAGGCACGAAGCTCTTGAAAATGGACGGTCTAGATAATACATTGCAAGATGTACTATTTTTAAGATTTAGAAATCTTTTCTTTTGTATTTATACATCCTGTTGTCGGGATGGTCATTTAGATGTTATTCCAACTAAACAACCATTTTTAGAAGAGCACCTTAATTCTACATTTGAAGGTGTCAACCTTATACGAACTTTTTCCTTAATGCATCACACAGAGTCCAGTTGTCTCGTTACCGACTAATGCCACAACACAGACGAAGCAAGTCAACTCAATAGTTGCCCAAGCAACTTAATACATGGCCCACTGAACTTGGAAATTAAAGGAATTACTAACTAATAGAGAGAGTGCGAGAGAGAGAGAGGTCGCTCGTCATCTTGTAAACTCAAACTTTCCACTTTTCGGTCTATTTAATCTTTCAAAATGCGGGATATGGTTACAAGCATAATAATAGCAATTGAAGATATACAAGTCTCTTAGATTGTCCACCAAAATCATGATTGCGTAACTTTTTTCCTTTTTGACAAGTTGATTATCAATAAATAGAGATGTGGTTACAAAGATAAAGGAAATATAAAAATACAATCAACATGTGCCCTTTTGCTAAATAGTCAGCCCTATCATTCCCCTCCTTATATTATATACATGGTTGAAAGTAACCACTATCATTCCCCTCCTTATATTATATACATGGTTGAAAGTAACCACTCGATTCTGATAAATGTCTATACTTCCAACCAATACTATTTTAAATTTAAAGGGGGTTTACTCAACTCACAGCACCAATTCACACAACGATCCTTTCATCAACTTTAATCCATGTAACATAGTTAACATTTTCGCATGATTTTTTGTAGCTATCCCACATGGTCCAAAAGAAAGAGAAAATCTCCATACCCAAAAGATCCCTAACTGCACCACCAAAATCTGTTCGGCCTGGATTCCCAAAAGAGTTGTCATCAAAGTTAAGCTTGACACATTTGTGGAGGGGAGGAGTCTATCTACTTCTAATTGTAGGCCGGTGTACCTACTGATGTATCAAATCATGAAGATTGAGAAAAACATCTATCTTTGATACACCAAAACCTTATTTTGTATTAGAGAACTAGAACCACACATTTTGAATAATCTTGTCCTTAACACCAACCATCTCTAAACTCACTCCTTCAAAAGTGTGTCTATTCCTTTCAAGCCATACCTTCCATAAAATCGAAGCTTTGAAAACAAATATCTAGCTTCAGATGGCGATGCACAAATTTCTGCAAACAAAAGCATTGTCCAAGACCTCTTATGAAAATAAGAGTTATCGATTAGAAGGGGCAATGGACCATAGCAACATGAGCAACAAAGCGTATGACTCATACTCGTCTTAAGCAACACCATAATTAGCACATAAATAACTTAATCCCCATGCATATAATATTAAATGCTTTGATCTCAGATATCCTATATCATTTAGCCCTTAAGGATATAATGATTCTAACAAGTGGGCATTACCAACAATCCTACAAAAGGTTCACAAATTGCTAGTTACTAGGAAGGGTGCAGTTGGCATACGGATGCATCCGTAGCTGTAGAGGTAAGGTGCACATTCAAATTTTATCATGGAATATAATTTTGATGTAAAATATTTTTAGGATTATCTCAAACTCTATTTTTATATCTAATTATAAAATTTTAAATTTAAAAAATGGTTAAAATCAAGTAGATCTATAAACAAATGAAAATCTTGAAAATGGACGTGTAGATAATATGTTGTAAGATGTACTATTTCTGAGACTTAAAATCTTTTTATTTCCATGGTCATACATCTCGATATCGAGATGATCAATCAAAGAGTTTTTCAACATTAAAACTACTTTTTTTGATGGATTTTTGAGGTGCATCTGTAGTTCTACATTATAAGGTTGCATCCTTATATAAACTTTTTCCTACTAGAAATCCATGGAGCAATTAATATCTCATGTTATTTATTTTGGATGCATTTGTGGTAGTCAACCAAATGTGTGATATGCTAGCTCAGAAAAAAAAACTAGGCCCCTAAGGGACTAGCTAACCCTAAAAAAAAAAAAAAAGAAAAAAAACAAGCACTCCCCCAAAGAATGAAGATTTATGAAAGACGGAAAATACGAAGTCCTAATTGATTTTGTCCTTGAGTGAGATAGAGCAAACATAGTGGCCATTGCATACAATGAGACCATTTTACCTCCGGTCAAAGGAGGTCATAATTACTTATGCAATGAGACCATTTTACCTCCGGTCAAAAGAAGTCATAATTACTTATAATCATAGTTGTTGAAAACGTTTAGGAACCCAAACGTTTTAAGAACAAAAATTGCAGCGGGCTAAAAAATTCCTTAGGAATCTGTATAGGAAATGGATAGGTAATATAGCCATTCTAGCCTATTAAGAGATTAGATAAAAAAATGATCTTCAAAATATTAACATTGAAAAAATAATTTTTAAAATATTCAATAGAAAATTTACGATTTTTATATTATTTAATTCTTATCGCATTCAGTATTATTTAAAATTGATACCCTTTTTCAGCATTATCATTAGATCTACATATAAAAAATAAGAGAGAGAGAGAGGGAGAGAGAGACCTTGAGAAATTTGGAGAGAAAAATAAGAATCTTAAGAATTTTAACGCAAACTGCTGTTAATTATAACTTGCTTTGAATAATATTCCCACTGAGAAATTATTTGGAAAAAAAATAAAAGTATTTAATTTAAATGAAAAAATCTTGAAAAAATACTAATGAAATGCTTAAACCACTTCAAAATAACAGAAAATCAAACTTAAGTACCTCACCAATTATTTTGAGAGAAAAGCCAAAGCTGTTGCTATTCCGGGTTGAAACTAGAGGTGGCATTAGACCTAACGGGTAGACCGACCTCGGGTCTGGGTATGGGTCTAAATTTTGGACCTGAAAATCTAGACCCGAATACTATTCAGGTCCAGGTCTAGCTAGACCTAACCCGAATAACATAGGTGTGCGTAGGTATTCATAAAAGTTGCCAATAAGGTATATGCTGGTAGAAACAATTAAGAATGTGGGTATTCATAAATGTTGTGCAATATTGATGTTACCAATAATTTTATGGGTATTGGCAATGGATCCGATCAGACTCGAGATTGAACGAGTAGACCCGACCTCGGGTCCGGATATAGGTGCAAATTTTGGATCCAAAAGGTCGGGTCTAAGTCCAAAACCTAGACCCAAATACTATTCGGGTCCGGGTCCAAGTTCAACCGGATCCTGCCAGGATCAAAGCCATTGCCACCCCTAATTGAAATCCTGAACAATGAGGGCATGCTGTTGGTAATTTAACCACTTAAGTTACTCAAGCTAAATAACCTGATTAACCTTGCTTGTTTCACATTTCATGCTTTTTTCACAATTCATTTTAGGTTTGGAACCTTCTGACTTCGTGAGTTGAGCCCTATTACCAAAATTCCCTACTTATTACAGGTTCCTAACCTTGAATGAGAATTTTCATGTAAAAACAGGTTTGGAAAGAGGGACTTATACATTTATTTGGACAAAATTCTTGGTGATGCAACAATATGATTTGGACATGCTTTTGACGAAATTCTATATGACGTGCCTAAATGAAAAGATTTTAAAGAATAAACACCATGTTGGTAAAATTTATTTAACCACTTAATTGATTTTGAGAAATTTATTAAAATACTATTGAGAGATAAAGTATTTAATATTTTATCCATTTACAACTATTCCAACTCAAGACCATATGTTTTTTTATAGGTATTTTAAAATTAAATATCCAAATATAGGTAATATATTGAATGTTCATCTCATAAGTAATTTGATAAAATTCCTTTGATTTTTTAGATGATTTAATCAACATGATGGCTTCATTATTTATGAAGACCTTGAGTCCTCTAACTAAGAAAGGGTAGAACTTTACCTATGAACCTTCCCAGTCCTAGCATTTTAACTCAAAAGCATGGAATCTCAAGGCTTTTCTCCTTGTTGTCTTCAAGTGGTTTGGAGCTTCATTTAAAAGGCAAAAGTGCAACAGATTTATGCCTTATACTAAAGTAAGGTGCACCATAATAATTTATCAAAAAAAAGTTGTTTTGACACTAGAAAACCCCCTGTTGATCATCTTTGCTTCACGATGTATAGCGGTGAAAAAATAAGGATTTCAAGTTCTAAAATTTATACATCTTGTAACATGTTGTCTGGAATATTTATTTTCAAGATTTTCAGGTGTTTATAGTTCTACTCAATGTACATCATTTTTTAGAGTTTAACATTGGGTGCAGTTTTGCATAGAGCCGAGGTCCTAAACAATCAAATTAGGGCCCACCTTCAAATAGTATCGAGAAATATGGTTTCAATATTACAAATCTTTGTGATATCCCTAAAATATATTTTCATATTTAATTAAAAAATTTAAAGCTTAAAAAATAGTG